CTATTGCTGATGCTATTCTGCATTGCTGTATAATGGTATTGCTGGGAATTGTAGTTCTCTATAGCTGTTTGCAGTCTTCATTGCTGTATAATGTATTGCTGGGATGTGTAGTCCTCTATAGCTGATGGTATTCTGCATTGTTGTGTAATCAGGGGTGTGGAAATTTTTTTTAAAAAACGACTTGTCAAAGGGCTAAAGCGGGGGCCGAATCTACTTGCCCTTCATGACAATCAACTTGTCCCAATACAAAAAAATAGTTTTAATCAAAACTAGGGATGCACCAATGCCGGTTTTTCGGTATCAAGTACGAGTACCGATATTTTGCTTTTGGTACTCGCCGATACTGAATACCAATACCGGTGCTTCCACTGGCATGGAGCAGGCTTCCCGGGTAATCAGGAAGCCGGCAGCGGGTAATGACATGCCAACCGGCTTCCTGATAGCCAGGGGAGCCGGCTGCATGTTGTTTGGCCGGCTTAATTGTGGTTGGCCGGGAAACCGTCTTAAATAAAATATTAACCGTTCTGTAAGCAAAACTTAATTTTCTGGCAGTGCCCCTCCCGAGAATAGACTCTGGATCCGCCCCTGACCTACACACACACACACACACACACGCAGAGTTAGAAAATCCCTTTACAGAAATTACAACAAGAAAACAAACATTTACTGTTATGAATAACATTTATTAAAATTATTATTTTCCATGTTTATAAAACAAATCAGAGGAAGATTTAGCTAAAATAACCATGTAAAAAACAAGCAAATATAGTACAAGGGTCAGCTGGCTATACACAGATCAAACGTCATCCATTTCCTCCTGAATCGTCCGAAAATTGAATCTGTGGGTGGCCCTGCCAGCCAACGGGTTCCACACAATTTGCTTTTTAAATTGTTATCCAAACAGTGGTGACAGCCAATCAGCTGCTGTCACTTTTCTTATATTCTGACAACCACGGGCATCGGCTGTCAGAATACAATAGTCTGCAGGGGACATTCCCTGTTCAGCCTGGATGGAGGAATAGAAACATTTTGAGACGACTTAATGTGTGTGGCCAGCTTTAGGTACCATACAATTTTAGTCTTATCCATCTTTCCTGACAGCTTTAAGCTGCTGACAGAGGAAATGGAGTCGGCTAAATAAGGTTTCCTCCCTCACTCCTCCCATATCTTCTTATTATTATTATTAGTATTACCTCCCCATTGGAGTCTACCAGAGAAACAAGAAACCAGTGGCGGAACTACCGCTGGTGCGGCCGGTGCGGGAGCACCGGAGCCTCAGCCTTTGGGGGGGCCCAGCACAGTTGCCTACCGCTGCATAGCTCTTTATCCAGCGTCCGGACGGGCCCCCAGATTAGAGAGCCCCCACGGCTCTCTAATCGGCCGCAGCTTGTTCCAGAAGGGGGTTCTCTGGAGGCCCCCGCGATCAGGCAGAAGCGGCCACCTAAACAGGCACTGTAGAGGGCCGCCCGCAGGGGCCCTCCAGAGGACCCACTTCAGGAGCTAACGGCGGCCGATTAGAGAGCCGGGCCTGATGCGGGCGGGCTGACCGGGAGCTGCGGTGACGGCACCCCCATTGCTACGCCACCGGCCGGGAGTGTGCAGAAAGGCGGCAGAAGGATGGAGCAGCAGCGGCCCAGGGTCCAGGGAGCGCCACTGACCACCAGGCTAAGGTAAGGTGACATTTTTTCAAATGAAATTTTAAATGTTTTATTATTTTATGTTCCCGGGGCATTTTTAAATGTCCCGGGAACATAAAATAAAAAATGTATGCATATAATGACAGCGTGAGAGCCGGGACACTGCGCTTGTCGGTCGTTCCAGGGATCAGGTGAGTATTAAAGGGTTATTAAACCCTCTGGCTTTTTTGCATATATATGAGGGTAGCAAGCAGTAGATATATGCAAAAAGTTGAAGAAAAAAAAAAACGGTTTAAACTTACCCCCGTCTTTGCCGCGCGCTCCCGTCCAAAAATACGAAACTGCTTAGGCGGCCGCAAAGCATCTTGGGGCAGGCGAATGCGCAGTTCGGATTTTCGGCCGGGAGACGAGGAGAGACACAAGGTAAGTCTATGGACGCGTACAGACACCCTGGGACAGGAAGTGCCAGCAACTACAGAGGAGTCAGCGCTGGATCGGAGACCCGCCGCACCGCTGGAGGGACATGAAAACATCAGGAAAGAAGATCGGATAAGAGACATCAGTTAAGGTAAGTGCTGACATTTACATTGGGGGGAGGGGGAAAACATTTACTTTAATGTCACTTTAACCACTTCCGGGCCGCAGTATGTCTATAGACGGCGGCCTGCAGAAGTGGTTAAAACAAGAAAACGGCTGCTCCGGCAGCCGTGCTCTTGGTACTGCTTTTAACAGCAGGCAATTGCTGTGTAACATACAATTGATCTGGTGTCTGAACAGCCGCCGGATCGTTTGTACCGTGTGGTACCCCCGCAACGGCCACTGGGTCGGTGGGTCTCCCCGCAATGATCAGAGAGAGATTCAGCCGCTTCCAGCCGCTGATTTCTCCTCCGATCACTGGACGCGGAAGTGCTGTGTATTACATCACTTCCGCTGTCACTGTACACAGTCTCCGGCTCTCAGAGCCAGGACAAGAAGCTGGGAAAGCAGATCTCGGCTTCCTCAGCTTGTTTGGGGTCTCTAGGTGACATTAGGGGTCTAAAAGACCCCTGATGCCTCCATAAAGAGGACCTGTCACACCCTATCTGCTATGTAATACCAATAGGGTTAGTGTACAAAAAACAAGTGTTTAAAAATGAATGTAAAATAATTTTTTTTTAAAAGAATGGGAAAAAAATGTTTAAGTCCCCCGCTC